TCCCCTCAGCATCTCCGTAGCCCTTTGCTGGACCCTCTCCAGCAGTTCCCTGTCCTTCTTGACCCGGGGAGCCCCGAACTGGACACAGCGCTCCAGATGTGGCCTCCCCAGGGCAGAGCAGAGGGGGAGGATGACCTCCCTCCACCTGCTGGCCACCCTCTTCCTGATGCCCCCCAGGATGCCATTGGCCTTCTTGGCCACCAGGGCACAGTGCTGGCTCGTGGGCATCCTGTTGTCCCCCAGGACTCCCAGGTCCCTTTCCCCAGAGCTGCCCTCCTGTGTGTTCATTAGAAGGCACCAGAGAACAAGTCTCAAATTGCTGCTTCACGGTATCAAGAGTTAGAAAAAATTCCTTTGTCTTCAGATTGAGTATATTGTCATCTTCTGCCCAGGCATACAGGCGTAGACTCGCTGGACAGTATAAACGCGCGAGGCAGTAGGAACACAAGGAGGAAGGCATAGGCTGCTGAGGGAGAGAGGGGAAGAGGTAAATGATGTCCCATCTCATTTTCTGCTACAGTCAACTCTCAGATAGAGTCAGTGGCTCAACGGAAAGAGGTAGGCAGCAGATGACCCGCTGAAGAACCAGGCCTTCTCTGGTGCTTGTCTGACGTACCCTGTGAGATGGCGTGTATTTTCCCCAAGAGCATTTCCTTATCAATCTGAAAAGACGCCGCGTTAAGCAATCTTATTTAGAAATTTTGAAATGAACTTTTCCAATGTCTGTTTTTTCGTGTCAATAAATTTCATGAGTCTTGAGACAGTGGCTTTCCATAAATTATTTGACAGCTTTCAGTTTTGAAAGCACTTTCACAGTGGTTCTTGACATTCACTGCCTCTTTTTTTAAGATTAAGCAAAGCTAAAATAATGGGCTTCTGGGAATGCTGTAAATCATTTCCTGGGTGAAAACCGCAGCGGTTTGAACTCTTCAAGAAAGAGAACTGCAGCTTTGTTAGTCATTTGAAAAGCATTTCTCATACAAAGGCTGAGCAGTGGCTCCACCATGGTAAAATACCTATTTTTAAGAAGAAACGTTCCTTTTCCAGGGATACAGTCACAGAAACACACCTACCAGGGCCACCTCTTCCCAACTGAACGATACAGAAGAGCTGCTGGGCCTGGCCGTGACTTTGCCGTCTCCTCCCAGTCTCTCCTCCTTTTTCCCCAGCGCAGAGGGCTGTAGGAAAGGACGGGAGGAGGTTCCTTCCAAGTAGGGGACAGTTTCCCATGTTTGCTTCTTGGTAGCTGAAGACTTTTTTTTCCCCCTTTCTAAATATTTGTTGTGCAATAGCGATAAATGGCGAAAGTGCAGAATAAATTAATTGAATGCAGTGAAGAAAATAATGCACTTGAATACTTTATAAGGCCAATTCTTTATATGTGTGGTATACATACGACAGTTTATTTCAATTTAATAAAAAATATACAAATTAAAATCAAGTTCTTTGCTGCCTTTTTACAAGGTGGCAGCAGCTAATTTTTTTTTTTTTTTAATTTGTTGTAAATGTGCGTCTTATTCGTAGATGCAGCCTGTGCTTTAAAGAAGCACAGTTCATCAAGGCAGGAAACGTGGCCAGGAGATACTAGGAAATAGTTTTAATGATCCTTAAGGAGTTTCGTATTGTATTTTTAAATCGAAGTTTACTTTGCTGGCGGCTCGGTTTTTTGTTTTGTGGGTTGTTTTTTTTTTCCTGGAGAGACTTCGGTTTTGGCTCCAGAATTTCTTTACAAAATAGATGTTACAGGAATTAATAAAAGGGGCATTAGTGGAAAAGCAAACCTGGAAGTTGTTCTTTCATTTGGTTTCTCTTCGTGTGCCACAGCATTGTTCAGCAGCAACAAAAGAATTTCCATCTTGGTTTTAAATCCTTTTAACAGTTTTGAAGTTGTTTGCTTTCCCTCGTACTGGTACTCCAGTGCCGAGCTGGAACCACTCTGGAACAGCTCTGCAGTTAAGTTAGTGCACTGCAGCCAGATGGGGCGGCTTTTCCTGGGTAAAGGTGGTCACAAGAGCATCTGGATGTACAGTAAATGAATTTTAAGAGACAATTCTGAGGGAAACCGTGATGGTGCTTCAGTGAAAAAGGGAAGCATCAGTTTCTGGCTGTGCTCTTTGCAGGAAAGCTCAAAGGAAAGTGATTGCATCAGTGTTAGCAAAGAGCATCAAAAAAGGGTGACAGCAAACACTCCAAAGGCTGCGGGAGACCTTTAAACTAAACGGAACTGAAGAAATTGCGATTCCAGTGTTAGCCACGGCACAACCATCACCGAGTCTCATGGAAACACACTGTAGTGAATTACACTTCCAAGGCCCCGTCAGTCTATGTGTTTCCTGTTTGACTCTCTGTAGTTCGTTTTCCTGGGGGTCCGCAGCAGCGGCCGGCGGCAAGAGAGGAACAGCACGGGGGATGTCACGAAGAACAGAGATGGAACGTGCGAAAAGCAGTGATGAAATCAAACAGTACTGAAACATTGTCTTCCTATTGCTCCACGCCAGAGGCAGCCATTGACCTCACGAGCACACGCACCATCATCCACCACGAGCCTCAGCGGAGCGAGGTGGTGAGGGTTTTCTAGCGCCGACAGCGACACGGGCTCTGCTGCGGGGGGAAGCTGCAGAACGCCCCTCTCTCCCCGCGCCGGCGTCTGCAGCCCGCTGCTGTTGGTTTAACCCAGTGGCCTTAGATCTGGTTTAGCACGTTCCAGACAGATTTTATCTCTGTGCTCTGAAGGTAACCTCCCTCCACCGAATTCAGACCAACGGCTGCTCTCTTGGGCAGTCTGTTCTCTGCACGCACAGAGAAGTTGGATCCTGTGTGTCTCTCCACCAGCATTCCTTTGGACGGTGGCACTTCCTAATGCAAAGGAGCGTTTGCAGAAGTGAGTTAAGAGTTTGTGGCCTTAGAGAAACACATCCAGTAGTCAGCTACGATGCTGTATTGAGTATACACGTGGCTCAGTCATCTTTTGCATTCAGGTTTGGTACTTTTTACCATCCTTAAATATAGCCTCATTTAAATATAACCCATTAAATATAGCCTCATTTTCCTGGGCTTAAAAGGCGGTTCGTTGCAATACTGCTGCTCTTCTGGCTTGAGAAAAGATGGTTTTGTTACGCTGTCTGGCATTGATTTGGCTACCTATGTGGAACAGTCCCTACGGCTTCTGAGGTCTGTCCGTCCCGTCTTTCCCTGTAGCCAGTTCAGTTTGCATTTCTTTTTGTGATTAAACTATTTGTTAGGTCATTATAAATATAATAAATTGAGTGTAAAATTAAACTGACAAACTCCCAAGTAAGCCACTGTTTGCTAGTGAACTTCCAACTCTGACTAAAAGCCACGTAAATGTTGTGTTCAATTAATTATTAAAAGGAGAAAATGGTACTTGCATACAATAACAGTAATGTGTATCTCAAGCAAAAATAGACTACTCTGATAGTGTTTTGGACTCGTGGAAACACCTGAAACACGCACAAATAGTAGACTAAAAAAAAGAAAAAGAAAAGTTTTCTATCCTTTATAAGGTGGGTGAGATTCCAGTTCACAGCCGGGGGGGAACTCACTGTCACTGCCTGCACCTTCTTCCCTCCCTCCCCTGCAGCCGGCCCGGTGCAAGTGCCAGGGGGTTCCTGCATACCTGGGGAGGAGAAACCCCTCCCTTGAGCCAGAGAAAGCACAGAGATGGGGATGAACCCTCAGTATGGAGCCACAAATAGAACTATAGAATCACAGAATGGCTTAAGGTTGGAAGGGACCTTGAAGACCATCCAGTCCCACCCCCCCTGCCCTGGGCAGGGCCACCTCCCCCCAGCCCAGGTTGGTCCAAGCCCCGTCCAACCTGGCCTTGAACACCTCCAGGGATGGGGCAGCCACAGCTTCTCGGGGCAACCTGCCCCAGGGGCTCACCGCCCGCACGGGGAGACAGTTCTTCCTCACATCTCATCTCAATCTGCCCTCTGCCCGTCTGAAGCCATTCCCCCTCGTCCCATCACTCCATGCCCTTGGAAAAAGTCCCCCCCCAGCTCTCCTGGAGCCCCTTTAGGCACTGGAAGGGGCTCTCAGGTCTCCCCTTTTTGGCCTTCTCTCCTCCAGGCTGAACCCCCCCAACTCTCCCAGCCTGTCCTCCCAGCAGAGGGGCTCCAGCCCTCCCAGCATCCCTGTGGCCTCCTCTGGACCTGCTCCAACAGGTCCATGTCTTTCCTATGATGGGGGCTCCAGAGCAGAGCAGAGTCCCCTCCCTTGACCTGCTGGCCATCCCACGTGTAAAGCCAGAGCTCCCCCAGCTCCCCTTGTTTCAGAATAACCGATTGCTGGTGGGTCATTCCCAGTTGGGGTCTGGCACGTAGGCG